TCCAAGCACTGATAAAGCAGCTAGAGAGAACCAAAGTAAAAAGGATAAAAGGGAAACAGGAGAAGCCCGAGTTCAAAAGGTCCCTCACACTTGAAAATGAAAGGGAAACCCCAGCCGAAACCCCTTCCGAGCCGCCTCCATACAATATGACGGAAGGAGATGGTGGAGGCGATGACGAAGGAGCCTCACACTGCCCTCAGGTCTAGCAGGAAGTTCGCTCATAGTTGCGCCTCACTTGCCCAGTATTCTTAGACCCACAGGGGCAGAGGTATCACGAGCCTTTAGGCTTTAAAACTATCAAGGCCCTAGCAGAGTCGGTGAGGACTTATGGCAATACTGCATCCTTCACTGTGGCTCTGGTTGAGTCCCTTGCCAGGCTTTGTATGACGCCCACCGACTGGACCAACTTAGTCCTCGCCTGTCTCAGCCCAGGACAGTAACTGGAATGGAAGGCGTTCCTTAGTGAGTTTGCAGACGAGCAAGTGGCAGCAAACCGGGTTGCCGGGGATCCAGCAGCAGCCTGGGACAAAGATATGCTGCTCAGCCAAGGGCATTTTCTTAATCAACAAACAGGATACCTGATTCAGTTGTATGATCAGATTAATCAGATTGCCATTAGAGCCTGGAAATCTATACCTAATACAGGTGAGGTCTCAGGCAACTTATAAAAATAGTACAAGGACCCATGGAGCCTTTCGCTGATTTTGTTGCTCTCATGGTTGAGGCTGCTGGGAGGGTGTTTGGTAATTCCGACGCTGCCATGCCACTGATAAAGCAGCTGGTATATGAACAGTATACCAAAGAGTGTAAAACTGCCATCACCTTATAAAAACAAAGGGATAGAGACATGAATGAAGGTCTGCAGGGAACTCGGCGGACGGCTGACTAACGCTGGCCTTGCAGCTGCTGTAGTTCAGCTGACCCGGAACAAAAGGGAAGTCCTGGTGCTTGCTTTAGATGTGGCAAGACAGGACATATGAAGAAACAATGCCCAGAAAGGGGAAATGGGGGAGATTCAGAAGGAGGCCTCGGCCGCAGGCAACCTGGCCTATGTCCTAAGTGTAAAAGGGGAAGCACTGGACCGATGAATGCCGATCAGTCAAAGATATCAACAGCCAGCCGCTTGATGCGGGATTCATTGGTGCCAGGCCAAAAAATGGCCAAAGGGGCCCCCGTCCCCAGGGCCCTCGAATATATGGGGCTATGGAGGATCAGAGCAATGGGACCAAAACTCAGTGGCCGTCCCCTTCAGCCACCAAGGGACCAAGGAGAGCCACTTCGGGTTCAGCAGGATTGGACCTCTGTTCCATCACCAGACTCATATTAACTCCCCAGATGGGGGTCCAATTGATAGAGTCAGACTTTCAGACACCCTTAGAACCAGGCACAGTTGGGCTCCTTCTAGGGAGATCTTTTACAGCTTTGAGAGGCCTTAGAATCCACCCAGGGGTGATTGATCCAGATTACACTGGAGTGGTGTAGATCATGGTAGAGTCCCCTAGAGGCATTACAGCCATCTCCCCTGGAGATAGGATAGCTCAGTTGATACCTTTGCCTAGCCTGCATGAGCATTTTGCTGCACAAGACAAAGAAAGAGGGAAAAGTGGCTTCGGATCCACAGGAACAGATTTGACTTTTCTGTCCCTAGATTTGGACCAAAGACCAGTTTTGGAACTTAATATAGATGGAAAAAGGATCCTAGGCCTATTAGATATGGGGGCAGATAGAAGCATTATTGCCAAGAAAGACTGGCCTACAGGCTGGCCCGTACAAGTCTCTTCTCAAACCCTACAAGAGCTAGGTAGGTTATGCAAAGGCTCCAGACATGAGTGCAAGACAGTTACAGTGGAAAGATGAGGAAGGTCATTCTGGAGTTATGCAGCCTTATGTTTTGGAACTTCCTGTTTCCCTATGGGGAAGA